TTCGAATTCTTTACGACCATCAACCCCACCTCACCAGCTCATCTCCCCCATCTGCTCCTTGCCCCGTGTTCTGGAATGACCTGTGTCCTTGTGACGCACGTGTGATCCTCTCATATTCCACCCGAGGGTGCAGTTAATCATCTCATGCAGTTGTCTCATTTCAGCTCATCCTCAGTTTTGGCTGTATTGCCTCCTTTTGTAAATTAACACTCCGGTCCTCATAGTTGACTGTGACTCATTTGTTTGTTTAGAGATCATTGTCTCTCAGGAATACACAAATGTCGTTTCATCAGGATGGTCCACGTTGATTTGCTCTGTGTGTGTTCATCTTCTAAATGGTCGCTTTCCTGGCTCTGGACTTGTCATACATTCTTCTGCTTGATCTCAGTATGATGACAGCGTGTTGTTCCTCATGGATCTCAATGTGTAACTCTTTATGAAAATGCATATTGGTTGGGGTACAGACTAAAACCTTTATGTCTATTATTCGTTAGTTTTATTAGTGAATTTCTGTTTATATGTTTTTGTAGGACATGTAGCCCTATGAGGAAAACACTTAAGTCTGGTTTCATCTCTGGGAAATGTCCCTGTGCACATTTCTTACATGTGTGATGTTGTCATTTTCTCATCTTCAGAATGGAGGATGATGCTACTGATCTGAATATGACATTTGTGGAAATGAATACAATTTATTATTCTGCTCAGGGGTTAAATAAGGAAAGGATATGGTATGAGTGTCTTGTGTGTTTGAAGTTCTGTGTTTTAGTTTTGCTCTCTTTCATTTACAATCTCCAACTTTTGTTTTACATGACTTAGATTTTTTCTCCCATGCCTGGAGAGTCCTGTGAGAATGCCAACCCTGCCTTGGGCAGGAGACTGTCAGTTAATGGTGAGAAGCTGTTGAAGAGAGAAAAGCCGAGGGAGTTAATTTTTCCATCGAACTATGACCTCCTACGACACCTGCAGTATGCAACCCATTTTCCCATACCTCTGGTAAGTCACTGCTTGTCAGTTGGCAACCTGATTATTTCATTGCAGGATCTTTGACC